GAGTTCTGAGAACTCTCTCCAGCAAGTCTCTGCCTCGGAGGAACTGAATTTCCTGTTTCCTGGGAAACGAAAACTAAGAATTAGCTTATTTACACCTCACACCCACCTTATGAAATACACATGTCACGTTCTCATCTTAGAGACGAGGAAAACGAGGCCTGGGAAGGTTAAGAAGCTTGCCCAAGGAAGGTCTTCCGTCAGTAAACGGTGGAGCCATGATTTGCAGCCAGGATCTGGCTCTAAACTCCACACTGGCAACCTCGCAAGCAACCTCTTCATGGCAACCCCAGAGGGAGCTGAGGGGCAAGGGGCGGGGGGGTTGTATCCCCTTTATGGGAAGGTGAGGAGAGAGGCAGGGGAAGCATTGATCACCTTTATCTCAGAGGCTAGGACACTGAATCAGCAGCTCTTATACCCAGGATCACTCATCAGTGACAGAGGTGGTGAGATTCCTTTTTTTTTTTTTTTTTTTTTTTTTTTTTTTGAGGAGGAAGCAGTGGGAAAAGCATAGTAAATTCATTACTGTGCAGCTTGGAGTTATTTAACCTTAGTAAGGTGGCGAGTACATAGATGCTCCATCAGTCCTCACCTCCCTCCATCTGTCCGCTATTTCCAACTCCAGAATCTCAGGCAAGTCTCTTTAACTTCCTGACTCAGTTTCTTCATTTATAAAAAGGAGGTGATGATGAGATGTTGATAAAGGGCTTACTTAGCCCCGTGGCCATCCGGCTGGGAGCACAGTAAGAGGTAGTTACCAGTATAATCACGATGCTCTCTTGCCCGGGGTTGCATGTCAGGGCCCAGCAGGCTCAGGCTGTGATCCACACCATGTGTGCCTCCCAGACCCGTCTCCCCACTGCGAGAATCCTCCACCTCTGCGTTGGTTTCCAGCTTTTACCAGAGACCAGCGGGTTTTTTCCCTCCTAACTGGGTGTGCGCGTCTCATCTTCCTGTGACTTCTGTGCCCGGAGGAAGGCCGCCCCGTGTGACCCCCCCACCCCCGTGTGAAGGTTGCACGCG